TATGCCCCAACCACTGGTGCTGAAGAGGATGAAATTGACCGGTTCTATGAAGCCCTACAGCACCTTATAGAATTAACACCAAAAAATGATGTCCTTATCATCATGGGGGATTGGAATGCTAAGGTAGGAAGCCAAAAGATAACCGGAATAACAGGCAAGTTTGGCCTTGGAGTACAAAATGAAGCAGGGCACAGGCTAATAGAATTTTGTCAAGAGAATACGATGGTCATAACAAACACTCTTTTCCAACAACCCAAGAGACGGCTCTACACATGGACATCACCAGACGGTCAACATAGAAATCAGATTGACTATGTGCTCTGCAGCCAAAGATGGAGAAGCTCTATACAGTCAGTAAAAACAAGACCAGGAGCTGACTGTGGCTCAGATCATGAGCTTCTCGTTGCAAAATTTAGGCTTAAATTGAAAAAAGTAGGGAAAAGCACTAGGCCACTCAGGTATGAACTAAATCATATTCCTGATGAATATACAGTAGAGGTGACAAATAGATTTAAGGAACTGGATCTGATAGACAGAGTGCCTGAAGAACTATGGATGGAAGTTCTCAACATTGTACAAGAGGTAGCAACTAAAACCATCCCAAAGAAAAAGAAATGCAAGAAAGCAAAATGGCTGTCTGAGGAAGCTTTGCAAATAGCTGAGGAAAGAAGGGAAGCAAAAGGCAAAGGAGAAAGAGAAAGATACACCCAATTGAATGCAGAATTCCAGAGAATAGCTAGAAGAGATAAGAATGCCTTCTTAAATGAACAGTGCAAAGAAATAGAAGAAAACAACAGAATAGGGAGGACCAGAGATCTCTTCAAGAAAATTGGAGATATGAAGGGAACGTTTCATGCAAAGATGGGCATGATAAAGGACCAAAATGGCAGAGACCTAACAGAGGCAGAAGAGATTAAGAAGAGATGGCAAAACTACACAGAAGAACTATACAAGAATGAGCTTAACATCCCAGATAACCACAATGAGATGGTCACTGACCTCGAACCAGACATCCTAGAATGTGAAGTGAAATGGGCCTTAGAAAATCTGAGCAACAACAAAGCTAGTGGAGGTGACAGTATTCCAGCTGAGCTATTCAAAATCTTAAAAGAAGATGCAGTAAAAGTGCTACACTCAATTTGCCAGCAAATTTGGAAAACTCAACAGTGGCCACAGGATTGGAAAAGGTCAGTTTACATTCCAATTCCAAAGAAAGGCAATGCCAAAGAATGTTCAAACTATCGCACCATTGCACTCATTTCACATGCTAGTAAAGTTATGCTTAAAATCCTACAAGCTAGACTCCAGCAGTATGTGGATCGAGAACTACCAGAAGTACAGGCAGGATTTCGAAGAGGCAGAGGAACTAGAGATCAAATTGCCAACATACGCTGGATCATGGAGAAAGCTAGGGAGTTCCAGAAAAACATCTACTTCTGCTTCATTGACTATGCAAAAGCCTTTGATTGTGTGGATCACAACAAATTGTGGCAAGTTCTTAAAGAGATGGGAGTACCAGACCATCTCATTTGTCTCCTGAGAAACCTATATGCGGGTCAAGAAGCAACAGTGAGAACTGAACACGGAACCACTGATTGGTTCAAAATTGGAAAAGGAGTCCGGCAAGGCTGTATACTGTCGCCCTGCCTATTTAACTTATATGCAGAGCACATCATGAGAAAGGCAGGGCTAGATGAATCAAAAGTTGGAATTAAGATTGCCGGGAGAAATATCAACAACCTAAGATATGCAGATGATACCACTCTAATGGCAGAAAGTGAAGAGGAACTAAAGAGCCTCTTGATGCGGGTGAAGAAGGAGAGTGCAAAAGTTGGCTTGAAACTCAACATTAAGAAAACCAAAATCATGGCATCCGGCCCTCTCAATTCCTGGCAAATAGATGGGGAAGAAATGGAGGTAGTGACAGATTTTATTTTTCTGGGCTCCAAGATCACCTCAGATGGGGACTGCAGCCAAGAAATTAAAAGACGCTTGCTCCTGGGGAGGAAAGCTATGGCAAATCTAGACAGCATTCTAAAAAGCAGAGACATCACCCTGCCAACAAAAGTGCGTATAGTCCAGGCCATGGTTTTCCCAGTTGCAATGTATGGCTGTGAAAGTTGGACCATAAGAAAGGCTGAGCGCAAAAGAATTGAGGCCTTTGAACTATGGTGCTGGAGAAGACTCCTGCGAGTCCCTTGGACTGCAAGGCGTTCAAACCGGTCAGTCCTAGAAGAGATCAACCCCGACTGCTCTTTAGAAGGCCAGATCCTGAAGTTGAAACTCAAGTACTTTGGCCACCTAATGAGAAGGAAGGATTCACTGGAGAAGAGCCTAATGTTGGGAAAGATTGAGGGCAATAGAAGAAGGGGACGACAGAGAATGAGATGGCTGGATGGAGTCACTGAAGCAGTAGGTGTGAATTTAAATGGACTCCAGAAGATGGTAGAGGACAGGAAGACCTGGAGGAACATTGTCCATGGGGTCGCGACGGGTCGGACACGACTTCGCAATTAACAACAACAACAACAGGTTGTTAATAGGGCAATATTGGAAGGAGGAATTTTTGCCTACTTTGCAAGAATGGTTTTTTAAAGTTTCCTACTTAGCGGAAATGGCAAAAATTTCGGCTTTCTTGAAAGATTAATCGCAAGAGAAGTATCTTTCGGTGTGGAAAAGATGGATAAATTTTATACAATATAAGTATGATATAAGAAAATATTATCTAGCTTTTGAATAATTTATATAAATTTAAGATATTATTTAGAAGTGTAATTGTTATTATTCTTTAATTTTTTATTTTTATTATTTCTTTTTTATTTTCTCTTTTGTTTTTCCTCTTTTTGTTTTTTTATATATAATGGAGTTAAAGTATTTTACAATTTGTTTATTGAGTGTAATTATATTTGCTTAAGGTTTGGGTTTAAAACTTTTTTTCTTTTAAGATCTAGTTAAGCCTGTATTCAGCTCTGGGAAGAACAGGGGAGGGTTTTGGAGTGGGTTGGGAGGGATTGGGGAAGGGGTTTTTATTGTAAAATTTAAAAAAAAATTAATAATAATAAAAAAAAATCCCTGACCTTGCAGGCATCAGGAATTTTCTTCCTTGGACACCAAAATGACTCAATTTTTAAAATCTAGAAATAGCACCATTTTTAAGCATGAAATTTAACGTAGAATCCCATTCCAAGGTCCGTTTTTACATTTGGGTCAAAAAAAAATTTTCACCTCCTGAGCGGGAGAATCCCTGACCCCACCATAAAGAATTTCCTTCCCCGGACACCAAAACGTCTCAATTTTTAAAAAATAGAAAAAGCACCATTTTTAAGCATGAAATTTAACCCCAAATCCCATTCTGAGGTCCATTTTTACATTTGGGTCAAAAAAAAAAATTCACCTCCTGAGCACAAAAATCCCTTATCCCAGTGTTTCTCAACCTTGTCCATTTTAAGATATGTGGACTTCAACTCTCAGAATTCCCTAGCCAGCCATGTTGGCTGGGGAATTTTGTGAGTTGAAGTCCATACATCTTAAAATGGCCAAGGTTGAGAAACACTGCCTTACCCCATCATTATTAACAAGAACAATTGCTGGTTTTCCCAATTGTAGGTGATATTTGGGCGACAAAGCCCGGGAATCCAAAGAATACTTTTCTTAATTTAACATCAACTGTCTTAAAGACAGCACCACTTTTTGGCCTTGTTCCTATGGCAGATTAGAACTTGGCTGCTGGTGCAGGGTAATTTGTATTGCCATACTGTGGGCTCAGGAGTGAAGGATGGCACATTAGCATAACCACGAGAGTGAGTCCAATGTTGCCTGTGGATGTTAGGTTATTCTGATTGCTCACCAAGAAAGAAAGCTATTTATCTATAGAGGATTTCTAAGGCGGGGGGTGCATTGTAGTTTTATTCTCACCAAGAATCATATGGCCAAAAGAACCAATGGACTTTTGTTTTGTAAAGTTTGTGACTGTCTCCGGAAGACTTTGTTAGTATGTTTAATTAGTTGTTTTCCTAACCAATTATTGGACTTGTACGGAATTTTTAAAGCAGATGCAAGTAGCTATTGCCTCAATTCATCTTCACAGATGGGATTTGTGTATCTTACATCTGAGGCTCTGATGCAGGTGGTGATAGGACCTATTTAATGGAACATGAGCCTAAGCATTAATGTCACTGAATATAACCCATCATATTGCTTCCTAATAGTAAATGTGATAAATGATGCATATCCGGCAAGTATTTTGGATTTTCCCTGCTCATTTTGAACCAGTGCTGTATGAAAAGAGAAAAGTAATAATACATTTGGCTCAGATAACATGACAATCTGCAGAAAATGAGATAGCAGAAATGGTTTACAGATAGATGCAGAGGAAAGTGAGCCATTCATTATAGAGCTATTATTTCTTAGCTGTGTTTTGCTCACTTTTGAACACATGCACATATCCCAGATACAGGTGTAGGGAGAAATTGAAAAATCAGCTCTTCTTCTTTTTTTCATTTCTATTGCTCTAAATTATTAGGCACGTATAACGTTATTGTTGTTGTTGTTTACATTATTCTTAACAAATATACTCAGAATTCAGTGCAAGATATACATCTTTTCTGTGAGGGGAGTAGCTCTGAAAGTGTTTTAGCCATATTTGTGGCTAGTTACATCTTTTCTGTTTGCGTGAATGATCATCTGGAAGAAACCTTTGCCTATAGAAATGGTGTAAGAAGATTTCTTTCATCAGAATAAGTAATATTTGGAGCCTAGTTGTTCAGCCACAATCCCAAACCCTTGTCTAAACTTCCTTAAATTGTTGGAAGAACATGGATGACCAAGACATGTAATTTCATTTATCAGATAATAGCAGGAACAATCCATGGGTATCTTCCATCTTGAAAACATCTGGGAACAATTCTTTCTGGATAATATCAACAACAGATTTTAGTATTAAACAATTGGTATGACTGTTTTAACTATTCATACAAAGTGCCTGCATATTTTTCAGGAATCCCCCTCCAACGCTGTTCCAACCAGAAAATTGGTCCAGAGGATTCAACCACTTTATTTCTCAGTAAGTAATACCACTTTTTGTGTTGAAAGGCTAATTTTTTAAAGGCATTGTGAACTGATCTGTGGAAAACTTTGGTAATGAACATACATGTAGGGGAATAAAAGCTACTTTTTTCAATTTGTATTACATTTGGGGAAAAAAGTATTGTGACTATTGAAAGGCACAGATCTTAACTATAAATTTATTATTTATATTTATTTGATTGCATGTTTATTTTTTTGGAACATATTATTTATCTCTGACCTTTTATTCAGGAACTCAAGATGATATATAGAATTTCTTCTCCCCCCCCCCATATAGCAACAATCCTATAAGTGGGGGTTGAGCTGAGAGGGATTAACTAGGCCAACATCTCATTTGGGGAGTTTCTGTGAATGAAGGTTTGATTATGTTGGGTTCTTCTGCATCTAAATTCATGATCTTACTATATCACAGTGCCTCTTATCTTCCCACCAAATGGAATCACCCATTCTAATTCTGCTTTGCTAACTTACAACTAAGGAACATAAATCTCTCGAGAAGAATGGTTTAGCAATGATTGGAACTATCACCAATAAAGTTCGCAATTTGCCAACTTCACACAGCACCTTAAAATCTGCTTGCTGCATGCCTGAGTTTCCTTCAGGTGATTCTGGTGGTTCAGGTGATTCTGACTCATTCATGATTGTAGCGACATGGATGAGAGTAACTCTCCAAATACATTTAGTGAGCTTTACATTGGCAGCAGGGATTTGACTCTAACTCATATTTTTTCCACTAGAATGCACTGAATGAACTAGATTGGGGAGAGACATTATCTTATTTTAATTTTTCAATGATGTGAATAAATATTAACCTCCATTGTTAAACATCAAGTAACAGACTGGGTTCATACAAATTATTAGCTGGTTGATTGAACAGGTCATAATGCCCAGTTCACACACAACCATATAAGATAAACCATGGATTGAAAATCATAATGACTGAGTTCATACTCAATCTAAGTTAGAACCAAATGGCTAAGTGGAACAAAACCTATAAGCTTTATGAATCTTAAAAATGTCTGCTGAACAATATAATCAATTTTCATGCTCTTGATTGTTGAAACTGGTCATTTTTTTATTTACAATCTAAAGAAGCATATAAGATACAATCAATTGAGTTGTACACCTTAAAAAAAAACTTAAAGCTCTTATTGAGTGCTATGTATGGGTATGTGTTTATGTTCTGATACTTTTACAGATTAAATTTTTAAAAATGCAAGTACCCTATTCGGTGGTCTAAATCTGATATGCATGGGATTAATTTGTGGGGGGGACGGGAATCCAGAATGTTACCCTGAAGCTTCAAGCTCTCCTCTGGGATCTGGAAAAAGAATTATTTGAAGAATCCTGCTAACAGTGCTGTGATGATCAATCATGGCAGAGCATTTCAGAATTATTCAGACTATTTTAGCATTTAGGTTCTTTGAAGAAAATGTTTATGATAAAACACAACTGTTTAGGTTGTCAATCATTGTTTATAGATGGTTTGGTTTCCACTTAAAATTTCATTTCTTTAAAAAATGCAATAAAAATGAAGTCTACACAGCATTGAACTGTCCAACTATTAGTGATAATTGGCTCATTTATATGCATTAGATACACATTTGTCAGTGTCTGACTTGTGACAGCTTTGCTTTGATAAATTAAAAGCAGTGATTGTAACAAGTCCATTTGCCTCTTACCCATATATTAGGACCTTGCCTGATTTTTCTGTCATACTTTTGATGAGTAGTTGACTTTTCAATAATTCCATTATCTACCTTCTTCTTGAGGCTGAATATCATTTGCATAAGAAGCTTATCTTGAACCAGTGTGTCCAAATGTATGTAGTTACACAGTTACAATTTTTCAGACAAATGTTATTTCTGCCTCTGATTCAAATCAAATGAAATCACCTGCCTTCCCATTCTCACCTCGCTCATCCAAAGTCGCTGTGCAGAGTAGCCAAGTAGCCACTCAAGTTGTTTAAGGAGCTGACACAGTTAGGTTCACATGTGCTTCTCTTGCTTCCTGGCAATAAAAATACAACAGTTACCAATTAAAATACAAATGGATTATAGTCCTTTCATGATTCCCAAGCCTAGTTGCCTAGCTAGTTACAACAGTATAGCAGAGTTTGTAAATGCGCAATAGATATGTCATCTTGAATATTTTAAGACTACATGACATAAATTTAAATAATACTTTAGGAAGTAGGTATGATCCAAGTGATTGTATACCAGAGTAAGTTCCCATTTATAATATTTCAGGTTTTGAAATAGAAATGGTTAGCTTCGTTAATTTACATTTTGAATTTGATCTCATGTTTTGGACAAACATATTCTAGTCAATTCTAGTTAAACTTTACACAATAAAAAGACAGTTAATCAATGAACTGTTTGGAGTGCTTTTCAAACATGCATTTTTTAAAAGTTCAGAACTTATAAAAAGAAGTGGACTTTTCAGTATGTCTTTTCTTTTTTTTTACTGAAATGCCACGTCCTAATTTTCCATCTCCCCCCAAGAGTATAAGAAAGAGAATATGGTACAGAGGCTTCAGGACTGGGGAGATTGTGGCTGAAATCCTATTCAGTCATGGAAATCCATCAAGTGATTTGGGGCTGATTGCTCTATCTCAGTCTAGCCAACCTCACAAGATTATTGTGAGAATAAAAGGGGAGAGAAAAAAGAAGAAAATCATGTATTCTGTCACCAGTTCCTGAATGAAAAGCAGGTTGTAATTGTAATACATAAGTGGAATAATAAATAAATTTTCTTAACAAGGGTGAAATTTTACTATTATTCATGGCTTAGCCACACAGCAACTGCATCTCTTCAGTTTCTATTGGACAAATCTCTCCTCAGCCCAACTTTGATCTGAAACACAAATTCAAAATAACCTAAAAGATATAGACATTTCTAAATCTGTAATAGCATATGAGGTTCAGCAATGTCTTTATATTATCCTGTTATTAACATTTAATTTCTATTTTGCTGGCATTTGAAGTAGGAGGAAATTGCAATGTATATAATACCACCATCTTAAACCAAAGTTTTTTTTATTATAGATACATTAAATGTGTAGATAATAACTTATTAAGTAAACATCTTGTCTCATGATAGTCCTTCAGAAAAATATAAAGCTTTTATTACTAATGTAGTTTTTTATTACTACTGTGATGACTGATAGTAAATTCATATGGCATCTACAATGCACATATTCACTTTTTGGGTCCAAACTATTGTAAAAAATATTATTGTATTTGTTATGTTGGTTGCACAGACATCCAGATATTTAGACTGGATCTGGTATTTTTGTCCACCTATTGAATCCTTCCCAAGAATCTGTGATAGGCTGTTGTATGGAGTTAAAGGCATTGTCGTAGGGCAGGGGTCTTCAAACTTGGCCCTTTTATCGTGCCTGGCTGAGGAATTCTGGGAGTTGAAATCCACAAGTCATAAAAGGGCCAAGTTTGAAGACCCCTGTCGTAGGATGTAAGCTGTTCAAAATAATGCTGCCTTTTGCAATTGGCTGGTGACAATTTTGTCAATGCCAGTGGTGTTCCGGTGGTGCTCCAGATGTTTTGAGATTGCACCCAAAGAGCCTATTATTATTGGTACTATCTTTATTTTCTTTTGCCACAGTTGTTCTATTTCTATTTGAGGGATTTTATATTTTGTGATCTTCTCCAGTACTTTGTCTTTATTCTGCTGTCTCCAGGTACTAGTATACCCATTATCCAGACTCTTTTGGCTTTCTTATCAACGATTGTTAAGTCTGGGGTGTTATATGACAGATGCTTGTTTGTTTGAATTTTAAGGTCCCAGAACACTTTAGTTTCTTCATTTTCTATTATTTTATCAATTTAGTGGTCCTACCAATTCTTGCAGATATTCCAATGCACCATTATTGCTATTTTGTCATGCTGGTATTTGTATCAGTCAGTCTTATTAATATTATAATTATTGTCATAATTGTCTTTTAATTTAATGTTTTGATTTCCTGTCATCCTGTGTGTTATCACAATGTATTCCACAACCAGCAAAATTTTCCTTTCAATATCTGTGTTCATTTCCCATCACCCCAATATTTCATGGGCACATTTTTATTAAATAGGTAATATTTATTATTTCATTTATGTTTAGCTTTCTCTGAAAGATCAAGTCTGTACAGATCACCCTTTTATCCCTACAACTATAGACAGAGTAGGTACGCTGGACTAAGAGATTGTTACTGACCCAAAGTTGCATAGTTGGCTTCATGATTGAACAGTGATATAACACAACATGAGAGCATGAGTGAGGGCACAAAACTTACTCAAGGTGAAGGGAAATTGCCATGTGGCTTAGATTGGCAATCTAAGGCCTAACAGGCATTATGCTACGGACACTGGATAAAGGCATTAAAAATTTGGACCTCTGTTTATGTTCAGCTGTTACTGGCACCTGAAAGCAGCAAAATTTTTACATTTAGGAAAATTGCAAAATTGTTGACTATAAAATCCTGCCTATTTAATAATAATAATAACAACAACAACAACAATCAGAAAAGAGCTGGAAGGGACCTTGAAGGTCATCTAGTCCAGCTCCCTGCTAAAGCAGAAATCCCTATACCATTTCAGACAAGTGGCTGTCCAGTCTCTTCTTAAACACCTCGAGTGATGAAGCACCCACAATGTCTGGAGGCAAGCTGTTCTGCTGGTTAATTGTCCTCACTGTTAGGAAGTTTCTCCTTAATTCCAGGTTGCTTCTCTCCTTGATTAGTTTCCATCCGTTGTTTCTTGTCTTTTCAGTTTCCTTGCTTCTGTTTATTTTTTGGAGATGTCAAGGAGTTAATTAATTTGGATTAACATGTAAAGTTTCTTTTCAAGTTAATATTGTATGCAGGTTGTCCCCTCTCCCCCTTTTTTGCCTGATGCAGATGCATTCATTGTGTAAAAAGCGTATTTAATTCATTTCAAATAGAATTCTTTATTGGCCAAGTGTGTTAATTCTTGT